CGTCGTGTAAACATGGAAAGAGGCCTGTTTGCCGTTATACATTTCGCCCTATCGACGAACGGCTAATCGCGCCAGCTTAAATCAACGTAGGTCATCCCAGTCCAAAAAGTAGGGCAACCCTTCACGATTCAGTAGAATCGTGAGTCACGTGTCTGATGAGTCTTATACCCGACGAATTTGCAGCTGTATTATTCACGTTAAGAACCATCAACGAAATTCAACGAAATAAATTGAGCTTCAAGAAGTTTGTGTATCGTGGAAGCAATTATAAATCGCTGATTCGATATGGATCAATATTAGCGATTTTTTACCAGCGCTTCAATTTTGATCATTTTGGAGGACCGGAAAATAATAGGCTTGAAGTTCAAGGACCATCTCACGCCTTATGACAAAATAGCATGATGATCGTGCGTTACGACGCATGTTTGTGCTCGTGGGCAGCAAAATCATTTAATCGATAAAAGAATCGTGACACGTATATACGCACTTGTCGACCGACTTTGTGAACTTTCGCCCTCCAAACGGAAATAGTACGGGAAAAGTAAGCACAGAGATCTATAATGAAATATTTTGCTCGCTGCACTCTGCATTTCTGACAAATAATATTTTGTCGCGAGAACAAAAAGCTATTACGAACAATCGATTCTTAGCGCGAAACGAGTATAGTCCACTGATCTCTCGGCTTGTTGTTTTCCTCAAGCGAGACGGCGATTAATCTTTTACGAAGCTACTATAGCCGCACGCTCTACGATAGTAATGAAATGCCGACATGAAGTCGCCTAGCTTTTTATATAATGTGCTTGCAGAGAGAGAGAGAAAGTGAAATATATAATATATAATATACGCAACATTCGACTTTATGAAGACGGGACTATCAAATTCGGAGTAAATTAATTCTCGAGCGTTATAATACGTCGATAAGAGAATAAACATCAAAATTTCGGCGGACGAAATAATTCTTCGACAAGTTCGCGTTGATAATATTTCTGTGAGCGGAGAGGGACTAAAATTTGCACGAATTGGAAAAATAAAACACAGAGAATTTTATAAAACGGCACAGGTATATTTGGATAAATCTAAATCGCAAAGTGTCACGCGAGATGGGCCGGAAACAGAAGCGTCGCCTGATACCGGAACAGGATCGCAGGATTTGCGGCAGCATATGCTTCTTCCAGTTCACCTTTGTCATCAGTTGCGTGGCCTTGGTTTACCTCAGCGTGGCGATCTACGCGCCGTCGTACAAGTAAAGAGCCACGTAATTCGTAATTTACGTTAGAAATTTTTATTTTTATAACCGAATATATCAATTCCATTTTTTGCAAATTTATTTAACCGATTATCTCATAATCTAAAAGATTTGTTTTTCCGCAAAGTCTCCGTTAGAAATAGCGTTATTCAGCGAGCAAAATTATTTAAGATAAATTATAACCGGTCGTTATTTTCTCTTCTCAAAAATTTTGTTTGAGATAAAGTTATGAAAAAAAATGTTCGTTACTTGTTTCTACAAGATCATTCGTGTCGTGTTAACGACGCCGGCGTAATTAATTTTAGAGCTTTTCACATCGGCATCGAGCCGGAACCGGTGATGTGCCAAACCGTTAATGCTACGATGGTGAATAATTGCGGCTGGGCGAGTTGCGGCGAATGGTGCTTGACGAAAACCAGTGGCTTTTGTGCTCAGCTTCACGCGACCGTGAGACGTAACGGCACCGATGTGGTTTTCGAAAACTGCACCAAGTTTGACACAATCGCATGTCCTAAGGTGCGTACAGCGATGCTTCAACATTTCTGCTTGAAAACTGTGGTACAGTCGTATCGACTATGCTACAGAGAGTCCTAAGTAAATATATATCTCACGTATATAAAAAAATACTGTTAAAATACGTGGGAAAAACCAAAATATAAAATTTTAAAAATTTTTTACTCCGAGTATACATATGTAATACAAGAAAACATTTTGCATTTAAAATATTTATATGTATTGTATTTGAAATATTCTTCTTATATGGAGCAAGAATATAAACAAGATTTAGAAATTTTCTTAATTCGTCTTTTTGGAAAGAAATAACGAGTGTGCTATCAGAAAGAGAGAAGGACTTCTCAATTAAATTTATTTATTTCAACATTAATTCAATTGTTACTTTAATTTACTAATCTGCTTGTTTTTACATCAGGAACCACGAATACGTTAAAAAAAAAAATAATTGTCAATTATACAAATTTGTTGATACAAAAATATTGATTTAAATATTAGTTTAAATTAGTAATCTGTTTGTTCTCATAAAATTTTAAAAATTTTTTACTCCGAGTATACATATGTAATACAAGAAAACATTTTGCATTTAAAATATTTATATGTATTGTATTTGAAATATTCTTCTTATATGGAGCAAGAATATAAACAAGATTTAGAAATTTTCTTAATTCGTCTTTTTGGAAAGAAATAACGAGTGTGCTATCAGAAAGAGAGAAGGACTTCTCAATTAAATTTATTTATTTCAACATTAATTCAATTGTTAGTTTAATTTACTAATCTGCTTGTTTTTACATCAGGAACCACGAATACGTTAAAAAAAAAGAATTGTCAATTATACAAATTTGTTTATACAAAAATATTGATTTAAATATTAGTTTAAATTAGTAATCTGTTTGTTCTCAAAAACAGCTGTGAAACTGTTTTAAAATTAACAAAAACTGAGGAGGAAATATTATTAGCAGGCTTCGCGTAATCTCCGCAGATTAAAAACATTTACGAAATCTGATATTACATTAAAGTTTTACGATCCTGTGTTCGATTTCCATTAGTTTCCATTAGACACGAACGATTGCAATCTCGAATAATTACGCAATCAACTTGAAGATCCTTCGCGAATCTTTCTCGGAAAGGACAATAAGACATGCTTCTCTCTCTAGCCACTTGCCACCCTTGAAAACTTCTTTCACTTGATGAGATACAAGAATTCTCTTCTCGGAAGGCAGGGATGCCACGTTTATCCTTCGGATTTCGATCACTTTATTTCCACAACACATTTCTAACCGACCTGCGATCGTTCAGCTCCCACACGAATGGCCACTCTCTCGTGGGTATTTCCATTTCATGGCGATATTACATTTTTAGAGTGTTCAATTTCTTCGGCGCGTCAAACGTCGAGACGGGATGGAGGAGCATCGCGAAAAATTGAAATTGCATCCAAATAAAATATAGCGATGTCCGCTGTATTATTAGAAATTACTTTCATTATTACAAATTCCTAGCATTCGCGATTTATATTAAGCTCGAAACAGCTAACTTGCTTTATACACTGAAACTACCCCTTAGAGATCAATTCCTCGTTCTCTTTAACTTTATCCTCGATAACATTGGCATTTCCCACAATTCATCATTAAAATATAATGTCAATGTTATACCGGTCACCTCGAGAATGTAAAATAGCTACATTGTTTGCAACCTTAACATATACAGAGAAATTTCTCTCTGGCTTTTTATCCGTAATATCGTATTTGCAGATAAAATATAATTTTATTCATCAGAAATCAGATAGAGCCTGCATTACGTGATAAGTATTAAAATATTACTGTAACGATTCACAAGAAAAAGAAATTAATATTCAAATGGATCAATGTTCATATCATATTATCATATTTTTGTAATATAAATTTTACAAACTTCGCAGAATGTAATCCTGCGCCTACACAAATCCATCCGCAAATGTAAGTTTTTTAATTTATATATAAAAAGTTTTTGCATTTTTTCGAAAGTTATATAAAAAAAATGCATCTGGTTTTTGTCTTTAACTTGACCTTCAGTTTTTACCTCATTTCATATTCTTATCCTCACCGATATATAACGGTCCATCAACCATCGCGAAGCATCGATTATATAGTCAACAGCGGATGTTTCCAGCCCGCGAGAGAGAGAGGGGAAACTTCTTATAATACTCTCACGAAGAAAAAATGCCATTATAAAATCTATTGCGTGGGATATACATACGATAAATCACAATGTCATTTGCAAGAGAGATCTTAAAAAATTATAAAAAAAATTCTCTTTCCTCACTACTTGCGAATAATATCATTTATTTTCTCATTGCTAAATATAATTACTTAATGAATATGATCCATTATGAAGATGCTAAAGAAGCTCATCAAGAGCGACGGAGATGCGCGATATGACGTAAGTTTTCGCCGTCGTAATGGCGATACATCATTAAAAACAGCCCTCCGCTCTTGTCAACAATGTTCCCAGTTATAAAACTTATTTGCAAACAACTTTACAGGCAAGATTACACTCTGCAAAATTCATGAAATTTAAGTCACGTAATATAATATGATATAGTAATTTTGTTTTTGTGAATCGTTTTACAGCAGCATTTTAATGTTTAGTTTAATTAAACACGTGGAATGATGTTATTCGAGAATATATCCGTATCCAGAACATAATTAAAACACATGTCACGAGTTCTGTTGATTTGTTTCTAACTTGATGCGACGTATTTGACCCCAAAAAGGTTTGTTGGCGTTCCTGAGAGTCGAAAGGTTTCGAGTTATCGCGCGTAAGGCAGCTAAAAATAGTCGGTATTCATTATCACAATCTAACGTCAAGCAAACGGGGGCGAGGAATTATCCTCGAGGGAGTGCCCCACCAAGAATATGAATATTTAGGCGAATGGCTTATCATAATGTATACCGACTACTAATATTTTACCAACATAGACTCAAAACATCCCGAAAGTAATGGGATTCAATTACTGTATTGACGAGAAAAGGGCGATATATCGTATGACTAGAGTATATATACGACCTAGTTTTATGCAACTATATTGACGAACTTATATAAACAGCGAGATCCTAATTACGTACGCAATACCTTCATATAGGATGTTTCTCGAGCATTCTGTTAAAAGAATAATTTCGTAATAGAATTATGAGTATAAGTACTAGAACAAAAAATAAATGTTAATTAACTTTTCTGTAGCGATTGTGTAATGGGAAAACAAAATTAACCCGTTAAAAATGAGATATTTTAGATTACAGATTTCGTCTTTTAATTAAAATTAATTCCAAGGTCAGTTGTCACATACACGCCATTTATAAAATTTTAAAGTCGTTAGTTTTTATATGTATAATTCTAATTGCAAAGTAAAAAATTGCGACAGATTAAATTTGAGATTACATTTCTATCAAAATATATTAGCTTTCATACATTAATATTATGTAGTTCAATACGTAATTAATAATGAGATTCAATAAATATGATAAAAATGTAAAATGTCAATAGGTAAACATGGGGAGCATGAAGAAGTACAACTGCAACAATGGCAGCGAGTGCAGTATGTTGACGGGCGTGTTCAACTGCAGCCTGGGACATTGTTCGAACATGAGCGAGCTGATGCTCTGTCATGTTAAGGCCGACGGTATTGCCATCGACAGCGAGAAGGACAATATGAAGCTGAATGGCTTCTTTAGCTGTCAGAACTCTAGATGCACGAAGATCAAAACCGCCTTCACCTGCGACAGATACTGTCCAAACATCTCCACCAGCGATATCAACGTTTATCTGATGCAGGACAACAGCATCATCTCCGCGAGATGTTCCCACGGGATGGCCTTGAACAGAGCAAACGGTAGTCTGCCTGGTACCAGACTGGACGAGCCCGTTAAGATCTGGGATGAGCAGAACGGCAGCATCATCGCCAGCTGCTTCGCCGTTACGAAGAATGAAAACGTCATCAGGTAATGACGAATAATAGTGATATAGCAAAATTTTATCACGACACAAACTTTTCCATTAAGATTTTGTTGCACTGAGAGAGAGAAGTTTTGTTATATCGGATTGCCTGCATAGTTATAAGCTAAAAAATAGAATATCATCAACATGAATGAGATTAGTGTTTATCGTAAAGAGAAATGTCTATATTTTATTTGTTCATTGCAAATATGATTATATTCAACTGCAATATCAATTTTTAAATGCTACGCATTAAATTTTTATCCTAATCTTAAAAAGTCTTTATATCGCAATTAATATCGGCTTTCTCTCTCATATCTAAATTTGCTGACATATATCATATTTGAGTATTTTGAATGTACATACATAGAAGATGAGGAGAGAGTCAATGAAACATGAGAGCCTCGAGAATCGAATTGCTGCTGATAGATAAGTCACTGGAGTCAGATAATTGAAAGGAGAAAATACTTTTTACATTATTTTTCTCATCAAAAGAGATTTATTGTGTCGCCATAGATATTGATCAATCGGACCTTGACATTTCTTGTCTATAGAACGAAAATAGAATTGCAGTATGAATTATATATATACTTATTTTCTTCTTTCTTATTTTATCATGTAAAATTTAATATCTGTCATTATTACAATCATATAATTACAATATAATATTTAATAGATATATATTTATAGGATTATATACTTTCTGATAAAATTATGATATATATTTATATACCTATATATTAGAATTTATAACAAACACAATTTCATTCATCACTCGCAAGTTATATTCCAACTGAGAGACGAAGTGAGAAGGAATAAGTATGAGAAAATATTAGGGTGAATCATAGACCCAGCTGCTGGATCAATGGTTGCTATGGAAATAACCCATGCCATCGTGTAAGAAAGCGAAAATATGGAGGAATGATACGAGTTCCTTAATAAAAGTAATTGGCTCTGATACGGTCGCTCCAAATATAATTAACTCCTATCTGCTTTTAAGGAGTTTTTACATAAAGCATGGATATTTATTTATTAGATTCCAATATACTCAAACTTTTTCATTATGAAGATATATACATATGAATTGCGTTAGTAAATAATATTCACAGAAAAAAAAAAATGATGTACAATTATCTCTACAAATCTTACTCAAAATCGACCTATCGATTGCGCACGTTATTTTCATGCAACGATAAATCAATGATACACATTATAGCGTTATTGCCTTTGTTTACCTTCATAGAACGGAGGATTGCGTGAACGGCACTTTACTGAACGAGATCAAGATTCCCCAACCGTCCATTAACTTCACGAGCTTCTTGAAAATCTACGAGAGGAGCTTGCAGTATCCGGCGGATCCCACAAACGCCTATGTCCCGGCGCAAAAATCTCTGACGATCTATAATAGCTCACGATTGTACATCAATCTCGAGCGTTGCGTCAATACCCTGAGGGGCGAGTGCAGACAATTTCTCCTCACTCACGGACGAGATGGTGACAATCAGACCGCGCAGAGCAGATACCCCTGCTATTATAACAAGGTAAGGAATTTTCCGTTCAAAGATTTAACGAAAGAATAAGAATTTGACGAATTTGTTCTATTGAGATTTTCTTTAGTATCGAGTGAACATTTTTTATTAAAATAAAAGCTATTTTAGTATAAAAAATGTATGAGAACAAGTCTATTCTTGAAATAATCTTTCTTGAAAAAAAGACAAACTATTGTGAAAGATGAGTTAAAAAAAATGCGATATGACAAGGTGAAATTATTTATAAAAAATTATTCAAACACTGATTCTCATCCTAGATTGTAAAACATTTACATCTTATGTTCGCAATTATCAATTACACGTATATATTGTTCAGAACAACTCGTTCTTCGTGGTGGCGCGTTTCGATCTGAAAAAGACGCGAATGGAACTGCTAATCGCCATAATCGTGCCGGCTGGACTCTTCGTCATCAGCGTGATCACTCTAATTATCATTTCGCGATCGGTGAAGGTGGGGGATGACGCCAAGATGCGATGCAGATATTGCGTCGACAAGCAAGAGGTCGAGGGCGAAGATGAGGGACTCATGGAAGCGATGTCCTCCGCCACTCAAAGCCAGAGTAATGAAAATGAAATCAGAAGTATGTCCCTTTAGCAGTACGCGCCGCTTAGTATGAGCGCTACGCTGGACTATGAAAGGCTACCACTGATCGACATGGATGAAGCTGAGGATTCCTTTTAGAAAAGGAACGATATCCGGCTTTTAAAGGTTCGTCGTGTTGAATAGATTCATCCCTATCGTGAGAGAAATAAATTTTAAAAGTAAGATCTTCGAGTACGAGGTGAATTGAGTTCTCAGATGGACATTAACGTCGTCTTCCGCAATGAGGTAATTAACTTTTCTATAGTTGCAATTGTTATTGATAATGTATATGCAATGGTACGAATAATATGTGATTGCGACGTTATGTTCGAAATGGAGTTAAATTCAAAGTGATCTCTCTGCCAATGCAATTCATCGAAAGTAACTCATCTGGGGGGTCCAAGTTAATTATATTAAACTTCTTAGAGTTATACAATACATCGGTCAAATAAATATATATGTATATATATTTATACGTTCACTGTTGCCTTCAATGTATCGTTAAGCTTTGCGCGCAAAACAAAGTGATTGAAACTAATTGATATTAATCGCTGATACATTAATATTAAGATTTTGCCTCCAAATATATCAAGGGAACATTAAGGGAATAAAATAAATATATAATATAGAAAATTGTAGTATAACTGTCTAATGCCGCCGTGTTTCAATAAATAACATGTGCAATGACAAGAATCAGGTGGCGTTCAATAACTGTTTCCCCGCGATATGTATGAATAAAGTGAAAAATCAATAATTTCTTAATCAACGAAGACAAAATAAAAAGAGAAATAAATAAATAAACGCCGAAATATATTTAAGTTAAATAAATAAATAAAATTAATTAAAGTAAAATTAACCTAAAATCAACAAGCTTCTTTAATGTACAAAATAGATGTAGGCCAACGATGACTCGACGCTCGTTTAATTCGCCTATCAACGAACATGCGCATTTATATCTTTTCTATATCTATTTATCGTGCTATTGTAGTTAACCGTAGAGAATCGTAATTAGATATTTCTGATATCGCCGGCGAAAACATTTCATGTAATGCCCTGTCTCTGAATATATTGATTAATACCGATATATGAAAATTCCCGAGTATTATACGACTGCCTAAATTAATTGTACAGTACATTATATATCACATAATTGCGATGCATATTATGCATGAATATCTGTATTTTGCGATGTAAATATGTACATGTGCTTTTAGAAAGTGAAACATTTATATATCCACTAATCCGTATAATCGATATTACTCGAGTTCTCGTGCTAGTTTATTAACATATGTTTAAAGTCAATCAAAAATGATTCGTCATAAAATGAACATTCAAAGTACTAAAAATTAACATAAATATGCATAAAAAGTCACACCTCATCGATTTAATCGCGACTTAGATATGTTGTAGGGAAGAGTGTTCTAAATAATTCTCCACAATAATCAAGTGGCGGATGGCATTGGTTTAGGAGATATAATAAATTAAAGTTTCATAGTTTTAATGCTTTTTCTTAGGTATTATAAAGTAACATTATAGGAAAAGTTGAGTTTTGTTGAGTTTGTACGTTGTATTTGTTGTAGACATAGAAAAAGTGTTTGTTTACATTTACGGGATAGGTACATGGTCATAGATATTTCGTCAATAATCGGTTTCACCTATTTCTCGCAGTTCTTTAACAGCTTTCAACATGCGACTACATGAATTTCTGAGTCTTGTCTTGAAAAATATTAGTTATTGAATGCATTGTCAGGGGAGGGACCCCTTCGGAGCTCCCCCGACCACGCATAAATGTTGTAAATAGCCTTTTTTAATCAAAAAATAACAAAGTATTACAGCATACATCAACTTTAATGTCAAACTTCAATTTGTTATATCTTCTAAACCAATGCCGTCCGTCACTTGATTCTTGCGGGGAATTATTCATAATATTTTCCTCTACAACATACTTAAGTGGCGATTAAATCGGTAAAGTGTGACCTTTTATGCATATTTACCAAAATTAAAAAGAATACATAGATGTATTAATTAAAAATATAAACTTTAAAAATAATTTTTTAAGAAACTTTTTTTAATTGATTGCTGCGATTCATATTTTTATTTTCAATAAAATTATTATACTTTTAATGAAATAAATAAATAATCCTTTTTTAGAATAAATAATTAGTAAATTATGAGAAAAAATATAAGTTTGATTTAATATTTATTCTAATATTTTAATCTAATATTTATTCTTATAAAGACAATATGTTATTTATTGGCTAATCGACAGAAAAATGTATATGTATTTTAAGTTTTAGCCGAAATTTATAAGAAAAAACTGATAATGCGCAAAAATACACTCACACATTCAGCTAGATATTCATATATTCGCTTTGAAACCAGGCGATAAATAAATATAATCTCACGCGAGCGCAAGTATACACACGCACACGCAAGAAAAGTAGCTAGAAATAATCGGGATACAAGAAATAAAGACTTCTGTAACGTCACTGTACTCTATGTGCCTTCTTCCGCTTTCAATGGAGCCAATAAAGTGTACCCATTAATATCTTCGAATGCTATAACCAGAGAGAGACAAAAAAATCTCTCATTTCCGGAAATGAACACCACAGTTATATGTCTCTTATCTCTATTCTATTACGAAAATAAAGACTTTCCGGAATATAAATAAAAATGTTATTTCATGTATGTTTTTATTATCTAAGAATCATTATATAACCTGTAATATACAAGAGAATCATTTATATATCATAAAATGATATAATCAATATTTTACCTTATCCATTCAAAATAGATAAAGAGATTAGTAAATGGTTGGGATAGTTAACGAATCCATGGAATAACGTTTTTTAAGGAACAACGACGATAAAGGAACAATGCGAGATAATTAATCGTTAATAAAGTATGCAAATGACAAACAATTGTGCATATGATTGATTATGCATTTCGATGTAGAGAGAAATACAGTAATCCTCTTTATATAAAATTATAGTTAATATAATATAGAATGTATAAAATCTAGTATAATTCTATGTTTGCCTTTATGTCAACATATTTGTGACATATATGCATGTGTAAAACATTTTTTTTTTTTTTTATTTAAGAATAAAGTTTCTTTACGTGCAATCAATTGTATCCTCTCTTTCACTTCGCACAATATTCCAATTACTTTCCATCGAAAGTATAATAATTAATTCGCACTCTTGAAAATTACATTTAAACAATTTACAATAAACATCGCGTGTTGACTTAATTATAAAATGCAATAGAGAAAATGGGCAATTATAAAGAAAAACTTGGTTGCATATATATTGTCTACATAATAAAATATATAATGAGAATATATAAACTAATTTTTTTAGTAAAATTTTGAAAGTTTTTATATCCCCTAAAAATTTTCTTTTCGCGATGAAAATTTGATGCCTATTGTTAGATAATAATAATAAAATAATATTGTTGGACCTCGCGTGTCGCGAAGCACTTCGTGACGAAAGTATGTCTGCCCTGTTGCGCAAGAACGAAATGTTTCTCATATATACTGTCCGCTTGTAATACGCCCATGCAAATTAATCATGGAGCGAGGAATATTTCCTGACCTTGGCGAAACGAATACAGTTCTACCTTCATAATTTCGCACAAAATTACAGAGCGCCTAATGAAAAATTTTCTTCGAAACCAACTTATCTTTATGGAATTTTTATTTTTAGAAGGATAGATTATTCCCTGCGCACATTTTATGTGTTAGTATTATTATTGTTATATTATCTAATATTATCATGTATGGTTAATATATGCCAGAGTATGGAACATGATTCCGATATACGTTGAAGATAATTCGCATTAATATTGTGACGTTTAGATATGTGATATAGATAAAAACAATAAATCATCATGATGTGACTAAAACCCTTTTCTTTCTCTCTCTCTAAACTTCCGGTTTTATCATTTTTTTCCATTATATAAGATCGTATCGTTTCGATAAAAACAAAAGTGAAATTGGATTGCCCTCGACCTATATATGCGACAAGTACAGATTTAAATCAAGTGCGTCCTGTCAATCGCTGATCGCTTGACATCTGTGAATGGCTCTTCATAATACAGGCACCATTATTACCGTCCTATTAGATTATTGTAGGTTTATTCGTAAATTTATGAAATTTAAACAATTTAATAAATAGTATTAAATGAATATAAATGTCAAGTAATGGAAGCTTTCAGTCGAGACGTCGTAAACAACTACAATACGTGATAAGACAGCCAACTAGAGAATAATACAATAATCACAATCCCAGTGAATCGTAAAAAACAGAAGGAAGTTATTTGATTGGGGTAAGCTTTCGTGGAGCAGACAGAAACGGCGTCTTTAACGTATTATTAATTTATTGGAAATAGCGAATTAATATCGATATTTTTTTATCTTTTATTATCAATATCGATATGTCATGTATGTCGCGTTATATACTCGCAACAACAAATTATATTCCTGAAGAATATTAAATCAGCCTACACTACCATCGCCACCACATCAAAGTTTCCTTCTAGTATGTAATTATGTAAGGTATACTATTCTGCAAAAATAATGAACATGTAAAGTGGATATATTTATCGCGTTATATAATATAATAACATGTATGTTCTCTTGTAGACATATCAATCCAAGAAGAAAACAAATCGTCGTTGTTGAACAAAATATCGATCATTGTTTTCTACAGCGATATTAAATAATATCGACGAATTACAAAAAGTTCTATTGAGAATTCTGGCACAATAGAATTTTCATTCCTTCGTTCTCCAGTAAGGGAGAAACATTAGAATTGCTAGACATTCAATTCGACAGATATTGCGGTTTCTTTCTATCGATTTAAGGAGAACGAATCAACCTTTATGAATGCACAACACATACCGATGTAATTTCCTGTGTGGCACGTTTCAAGTCGACGTACGCGACAATTCTTAATAAGATTCTTAATAAGAATTCTTTTTTCCGTTATTAATTCGAGTTTCTTTAAGACGGGATGAGGTACAAATTGCTGAACACGTAATTAACATCACGGACTCTAAAGAAGTAACATTAATTTCCATTCTATCCATTGATCAACGTGATGCAATGGCTTCGATGTAATAATGAAATACTGAAATGCTTGAAAAAATATAATTATATTCCTTTAAAATATAATATGTAATAGAACCAGAAACAAGTTTCTGTCGAAATTTTTAAGGAGAGACTGAATAAAAAATAACTTGCTAACTACATTTCGAAACTAAGTTTGATAGAAAAGCGTGTCTAAACATCAATATATTGAGCATGTATTACATATATTCCTATTGTTACATATTTTAATATTTTAATTGTCATTAATATTATTATTGGTCTCAACATTTTAATATGATTTGCATATTTAGCATTGTCACTTTTTGGAAATCTAGAATTCACTGGTTCTGTGCAATATAATATTAAAGAGATTCTGAATTTTAAGTTATATTTACACTTTAGTATGTTTTATCACTTTTTTATATATAATTTTCACGATATATATTTTCCACACTCAATTAAGCTAGATCAAGCTTTTACTTTCCGCAAAAAAATGTGAAAAGAAGCAAAACAACTCTTTGACAAGCAATTTGATCAGTTAACCCTTAACGAAATACCATTACCTATGATCATTCAAGCGAACAATAGTTTGAAAAGATTAGCATACCTGTTGCTGTCTTAATGAAAAATGTTTTCGTGCATTTTACGAAACATATTTCAGGATAATGGAAAAAATAACACATGTGCTATATATGTAAAGTTAAATAATATCTTGGAATATATATATAGCTTCTCGTAATCGATTATACATTTTTGTGCCGTATGGGAGTTGTACACCCACTTACTGGCTATTTATTCCAACTTCTAATCAATAATGGAAACAATAGAAATGAGACATCTGCTTCTCCGAGTTCAAAACACTTACCTGTTAGTTTGCGAATATCCCCAATGTCTCCATTACAATTAATTTCAATAAATATACATTCATATTATATCATGTTATTTAATTTTTAATTTAAATTAATGAGTAGAAAAAATATTTCTATAAGAATCAATTAAAAATATTTATGTATTATTTGTAAATATTCTTAAATATATAACCATTGTTTAATAATTGGATTATAACTTTTATGTAATAAAAAGTTCATATGTTAAGACCAATCTTCGCTTCGATACAAGTAGGAATCAATATAGAAATTTTACACTAAAGTGTAGGTTTTTAAAACCAATATTACTTTATAAAACAATCATCTTTTTCCATCAAAATTATTTAAATTAAACTGTGATCGAATTCAAATCTAAAACTAAATTTATTCGTCCAATGCTTTGAAAGTATCGAATTATTCGTTTGCAATAGATAATTTGCAAATGCAAAAGACGCGTGTCAGCGTAAAGTGGCTCGAAAAAAATTCGTATCAGTTCAAACAGACTCGCGAGTTGTTTCAGAAATAAATTACCTACTTTGAAAGATATTATTTACAGGGCGTGTAAAGGACGCACGTGTAATCGATAGACATGTACTATCCCCTTTTAAGTACAAGTAGATCAATGGAAGGCGACTTGGAGAAGCATACGTGCTCTCATTCTATTTCACAAATTATTAAATCAATTCGCTTTATAATATATACTCGCATATCATATATCAGTTTGTTTTTCAATAAACTGCGTAATTTCTTGGAAAAATTTTACTCTTATTTCTATTTATAATCCTCATATTTCTATTGATCTTTGAATAAATAGTTGATGGTAAAGCAGAACACGTCAAGATCGATTACAGAATCACCAGTTGTTGATAACCGTTAATATTACCTGATAATTCATCCAATTAAAAATTCCAAAATTAATCCACAATAAGTATTTGAGATTATTTTATATTAAATGGCAGTTTTAGAGACAGACACACACTATTTTGTGGATGAATCATGGAGATACTCATCATGCAAAGGTACTTACCTTCAGCTGTTCCTGACGACGATATGCGCGCAGCATCAATTCTTTCCGCTCGTCCTCCGACATTAGCGGCTCCCTCGC